AATAGTTTTCGTTTTATTGGCAAATCAAAAGGGTCAGTTACTTCTGGGACACACTGTATAATTACCTTAAGGCCGAATTCAACGCGCGCGACCAACCACGACAAGATGACGAAATGCATGTAACGCCTACTGGCGCAGACTGACACAGTCCACAGTTGCCAATTGGTGCTCGTGTCGGATGATTATTGATTTTTCTGCACGTTAAAATATGAATTGTTCGTTGCACATTTCCTCAGGTCTAAAGACGAGCTGGGGAAGCAGTCTTGAAAACGTACACATTAAAGTTTCAACTTTCTCAAAGAAGCCCTTCTCTTCTTAACTACAATATTACTCACTAAGCTCTAGGAACTCGGGCAAGATTATTCATTCCTGCGGACAGGACAGTTGTCTTCAGTTTTAATAATGGAGTGGCAGAGCTGTAGCACCGTACTAAAATCTAAGAATCACTATTGTGAAAAGACCTGCAACGTACAACCGATGAGGGAGACATGGACGTCGGATGCACACTCGATTGGTCGGCGTACCCAGCGCGCGGAAAACGTATACGACCTCAAGAACACAGATCAGCGGGGAGCATCGCGAAGGTCACTCACATGAACGCGTAATTCTTGCGGGATGTCTCTGAGTCTGCCGACCAAACACAGACAGCGACCCATGCAGGACCACAGGAGCGAACGCAGCAGCGACCTCTCTTCCCTTGCCGCACTGGTTGGTTATCAACGGCCGCCAACGTCATTAGAAAATGCAGAAGCCTCTTCCCCCTCTGAAAACTCAGTCAGCTCTTAACGCGAAAAAGCTCATTGAGACAGTTTATGGGTATGAAATCGCTAGCATTAACCGATTATATTTGAGTAGTAGGCTGAAATTCAAAAAAGGCATGTGCTACAATTGATTTGATTAGTTGACTTTCGAGATCACCACGGGTATGACCGCTACACTCGAAACTCGAATGTAGAGACCGTTTCTGTGGCTATACTGGAGTCGGGTAACTGCGACTGACGACGGGTAATGAGCCCAGAAATACGCTACCTCGCAGTCTTAACGTTTGCCGGTAATACATTAGAATAAGATCTGTTCGAGTTGAGTGCGTTCTGCAAAACTTCGACCCAGGAGCCCTTCCTTTACCTTTCATAACAGGACTCATTTTTAACTTGTACTTCACTGTATTCTCAAGGGGTGTTAACTGTTCGAAGGCCAATCAGCAGTCGTGTTGGGGACCTGAGACAAGAGCTGTCACTCACGCTCACACTACGAGGGTTTAAAAAAATACACGAAAAAGCAAGGTCAATAAGTTAGGAAAAGTGCTATTCTGAGGACAGGAAATCAGACCAAAAAATTACTTGAAGAAAGCAATCGGACAGGAGAAATAGTTACCCAGAGATCTGCTGGAGGAGAGCAGTGCGTTCTTCTTCCAAGCGAACGCATTGTTCCCGTAGAGTTGCGGCACGCTCGTAGTCTCCAGTGTCGATGCTCGCCAGGATAGCCGCATTAAGCTCGCTTATCTGCATGCGCAGTTCAGAAACCTGTTAAATAGAGTGGGGTAAGTTAATCACAAGAACCGTGAATTAAGAAGATAAGATGCCTACTCATTTGACTTCTAAATTATAAACATTTAAGAAGCCAAATTCTTCAAAAGTACGTTTTCACAGGTCTGTACAGTAATATAAATAGGGATAGCGTAGGGAAATCAAGACAGTCAATGAATAATAGCCATGAGAGAGAGAGAGCGTTGAGGGCGTTCTGACATGTTCGAGTTATTATAGCCTAATATGCGCAAAAGAACAGTCACCACGCTCTGATAATGGAAGCGAGAAGGCTTTTGAAACGTTAGCTAAAAGACAACTTGGTCTCAGAAATTGCCCCTTCTTCCTCTCCCGGGGATGATGAAAGGATTATTATAGCCTATTTCTGACAGTGACTTATACTCATGTTGTATCGCTGTATCGCGACGAAGCAGGATGCAGAAACGAACATTTTGGGCTCAGGTTAGGCCAACAAGGTCTGAGGACTTATATAGACGCTTTCTGTGAGCACAAGGCTGGGTTGGTCTGAGGATAAATAATCGCATACGTGAATTCGCCGAATTTGTTTTTCTAAATATTCACTTGAACTTGTTACTTCGAGATGGAGAAGACGGGAATGAGTCAACGGAGCCAACG